CTGCACCGGCAGCAGCACCCAAGTCCCAAAGCGCGCGCGGCCACACATCTGGCAGCGACACCCTGCAGCAACAACAGCCGGCACCGACACCCGCACCCTGTCTCCACTACACGCACACCCAGCTCACAGCACCGACCAGCAACCGGCACCAGCACCCAGCACTAGCACCAGCACCCTAGCGTCGGGTTTTTCACCCGGAATTTTAGTGAAAAGTCACCCGTTTTATATTAGGAAAACAATGGAACTGCTCTAGGAAGCATGTGTGTCAAAACTATTGGGCATCAAGAATCCATTGCGCCTGTGCACAAAACAACTAGATTCATGTCGAAGTTTGCAGCGTTTTGGTGGCCGAAACCCAATCAGAACGCAAGGATAAGACTATCGTGAAAATTAGCCCCTAAACATAGATGTAGCATGTCGAATATGACTATATGCTTGCCCTGAATCTATGATCACTGCAAGAAATCAACCTATTCTTCATAAGGTGTTCCACGGATGCTCGAGCCTTCCCCGTAACCTGCATGGACACGAAGCATCCAAACAATGGTGTTGAACTGACACTCCAAAGCTTATCTTCCAATGAGATTGACATCTTGCACCTAAACCGCATGTAAACGCAGCATCAAAACAATGTTGTTGACCTGATACTCTTCCAGTTATATTGCCATCTTGCATCTATCCCCAATGTAAACGCAGCATCCAGACGACTTTCTACAAGACCAAACGACTGAACACAGGTACCTAGTATCTCCACCACGCGCACACCCAGCTCACAGCACCAGCACCCTGTCTCGAAAGCGCGCGCAGCCAGCTCACAGCACCGGCGCCCGTTTGTAGTATCGGGTTTCCGACAGGACGTGCGCAATGGGCCGAAGGGTTACCTTTTAATGTAATAGTATGTAATAGTCATATATAGATTCCTTTCTCTGAATTTCTTGTGAATTGGAATTTAGTTATTCCACCCAAGGGGCCTTCTGTACAGAAGCTTGGCCCTTGGATTCAATTAAAGCCTCAAGGTCTGCCTTCCAGCCTAGCAGGTCTGCCAAAGCTGTGCAGCCACCATCGCAGTCACCCTCGTGAAACACATCCCTCCAATTCTTTCCCTTTTCTAAATGAAAACGGAAACCGAACTTCAAGCTCTCGCAGGTTCCTGCTTGATCTCGGTTGACAAGTAGACGCGGCGCTGTGCGTGCTGCGTAGCTCACAAGTCCAGCAAAGGGATGTACCACAAGCGAGGTACCCATCACGATCAATAGATCGCAATTTGCTAAGTCGGTTCGATGCAAACGTGCAAACCTCTCAGGCAACTCTTCACCAAAGAAAACAATTTTCGGTTTCACCAGTCCGCCTTTCTCTTCTTTGAGTTTCTGCCAGCCCTC